TTAGGGCGCTTGGCTGTATAAGATCGCGGCCTCAGTTTCGGCGCCGATGTCACTAGCAGATCCGCCCTAGGTCCTACAAAAAAGAGGTCGCAGCGTCCCATTTCTTAGTAGTTGGAAAAGAGATCGTAATGAACTTCGGGCTCTCAGTAGCTGACTTTTAGCTGTCACGCAGGCAGCCAGCAGCGACTGTTTATTTTGTTTTTGTTTCGCACGAAGTTAGTTAACTTAGCCTATAGAAGTCTTATTTTCGCCGAGCATATACGTAGCTTATTTTGCAACGGGCTAGTGCGTCAATGCTCAATGTTTGCGCGCGTGTCTCAGACTAACTCCGGTGGTCCTGAAACTGCCTTCATCAGGCCAAGGTTGATGAAAACGGAGGGAGAACGATTGGTGCTTTGCGAGTCTTCTAACGGTATAAAGTAATTTACACTCAAGCCACCTTCATGTGCCACCTTGCTGCAATGGGTCTCAACGCTTTCCAGTGAAAAAATGATAAGTTGGCTGAATTACAATATCTTTGACGGATACTGAAAACAGATGGCTACCTCTCAGCCTTGTCAACTAGTGCATATGCAAATGACACTAGAGATCAATTCAAACCAGTTCTAATTTTGGCGAGCTCCTCTGTGCGTGAAGAGAGTCTCGGAGGACGTCAATTCCCTTCTCACTCCATTTCGAGTTGCCGGAGCAATAACCAGGCGTCAAACGATGCGACCGAAAAACCCGCCGCCGCGGCAGGAAACGTCCGGACTCGATTACCGGATGTGGTGCAGTTGTGGACAAAGTAACTACGTCGGAGAAACTGGCGGATTACTCCGGATACAAATCGGTGAGAACGCAGCAGCAGTTAGGATGAAAGGTGCTAGCTCTCAGATAGAGGCTCACTCAACTGAACCCGGTCATATTTTCAAGTTTCAAAAGGCCGAAATCCTCGCAAGTGGTGACAACCGCATGCACCGCGAGCTTCTCGGGTCATGGTTCTCAGGTGCGATGACCTTCCATCCAGATAATGGTTAGGGCGTGGACTGAAAGACCATTATCGTGTTAATTACGACCCCCATCTGCGATCACGAGAGTTGCAAATTATAGTACGCATGTTGTGCCAAAGCATCAACGTGCTATAAATACTGCATTCGTTTTTCCTCCACTAACGAATATGCGACTGTCACTAATGATGGGTACGGGTGAGCATCTGAAACGCCAGACCAGTAAAGTTCTCCTTCCAGTAATCGCGTCTTAATCTTCTAAACTGTTTCTTGGAACTAGCGAGTTCGATTCTTTCGGCAGGTCCGGATACTGAATCAGTTCCATCTCGGCTGCCTTCGCGAAGTACTAAATTTGAGGTAGCAGGACAGCAGCTTGGACAAAGAGGCCTTGATATGAATCAGAATTCTTAACATACGCGCATCGCTGATGCCACTATGACCGCGATAGATCAGCTACCATGTTAAGCTGGCCAATGGGCGTCTACCCTACCAAATTTTTCCCGGGAATGTCTCTGTCTCTGTCTGTTCGAAAATGCTCTGAATTACCTATACCCGTAATCAGCACACTATTCTCTCGGGTCGCTTCCTCGTATTCATGAGCGTTGATCAATCTTGGAGAATTTATTCGCCCTAATTGGGTCTCCTTTTTGGGGAATCAGGAATGACAGCATCTTTTCTCCCTATCTCTTCCTGACTGATATTAAATTAACTTTCACCTTTGCTTGTATCAAAAGATAATCCAACCGTAGCAAATCGACTCCCACGTCCTCGAAATCACAAAGTTCTGGCTGTGAATGTGCGGCTCGATCATAATAAAGTTGTTTTGTGACAAAATGATGCTTCACTACTACTACTACTACTACTACTACTACTACTACTACTACTACTACTACTACTACTACTACTACTACCACTACTACTACTAATACTACTACTACTACCACTACACATAATACTACTACTATTACTACAACCACGGCTACTAATACTACTACTACTACTACTACTACTACTACTACTACTACTACAACTTCTCCGCAACCTGCTACTATTAACACTACTGCTACTTCGGCTAATTGGCAGATGGCTATGAACCTGATTGGCATAACTTTGACGTTGAAAGTATGCACTGCGTTGGGAACGCAGAGAACATAATATATACGCCACATTCGCAGATCTGCCGATCGCCTTGGACGGGGTGAGTGTTAACAACGTCGGCATCGGTGCATCTAGGAGTTCCTGGCCGACAAGTAAGCGCAAGCAGTTGGACAACCAATTTCTCGTAGCACAGAAAATTCGGCGTAAACGATCCAGATGTCATCTTTCCGAACTTCCATTCCGGATCGCGTTCTCTCGCTCGCTCTCTCTCTCTCTCTCTACGTTATTCGTTTTTCATATTCATGCTCATTACCTACCAGGGGGAATTTCTCTCAGCTAACTAATGCTTGCAGACAATTGCAGAATTACTGTCCTGTCAGGCATTTATTTACTGACCACAATCTGCTCCCACACGCAGTACTCATGCATGACCAGATGTGTGGCTGTTTGCTGGATTAGATTTAGACTTTTACTACTTTATTTCACATCGATGAGGATTTCCGAAGTGCAACATCGGATAATGCAAACCTTGAAAATTCACTCAGTTTGCTTTATTAAATTAAGATTTTTAGGTTTGAAAATTCCACACAGTTTATATTCAAATTATAAACCCTGTTCGGCTGCTTAACGTATCTAGTGTATATTTCAGGAGTCTTCTCGCTAACTGATAATGGGTTCACCAATAATGCCGTCAAACCATGCAGCAAGTAACACAATAAAATATCAAGAGAGAAATTAACAGACGTACTTACTATCCATCGGGGTCTTAACCGGATGCGTTCGCTTCTTCACCTTTGGCAGCCAAACCACTAAGTAGTAGTTCGAGACACTTTCGATGATGTCAGCACAGTCGATGAAATCCATTTTCTGTCGGATGCCTCCACCTGGGCGCTAACAGACTGCTTTAAACTGCGTCCATATCGATCGAGGGCGTTGTCGCCCTGCAAGGTCACGCGGAGTGGCGCGAAAGATCCTGACGATGGCAGCTGTGCCGACAATGTAAAGCACGGAGTTAATGAGGGCCATTGCTGAGGGGTGTGAGGGTGTGGGATTGCTCGGCGGTCGTTGAGCACAGTGCTCTTTTACAATAAACAGTGTGTGGCATCAATATGCAGTAAATAGTTGCCTCGGCGTTCCAAAATGGCAGTGTTCGACAATGGCC